GACCTGTCCGTAATACCCCCATTCACTCTAGCAGCTGAACAACACTATAGAGGGTGTAAATAGAACACAAGGCAATTTATAATGTGCCATTCAAGAAATGAAACCATTTAAAAAGAAAATATTTCCAATAAAAACACTTCAACTGTCTTTATTGCAGTGAAAAAAATATTGGGAGGGCCTGGCTCATCAGTGGTGAAACCTCGCCGAGGTTTCGCCAATTTAATCTACCATACTGCTTCTTAGAGCTCTACTATTTGATATATAAGCAGATTCATTCACAGTACAATAGTAGAGCTCTAAAAAGTGGTATGGTAGATTTAACTGGTGCTACCACTGGGAGGGTTCCCCACTGATGAGCCAGGCCCTTCCAATATGCTTCCATAGCAGTTAAGGACAATGGAAGATGTGCTTATTTAAAAAGAAAAAATTGTGCTTTGATATTTTCATTTCTTGAATAGCTTCTACAGCTTGGCTATCTAAATTTATTTAATGAGTGATTTCCCTGTGGAGCAACCGACAAATATACAACAAGAGTCCCAAGTGCCCTCAATTTATCCAACAACAAAGCCTTTATTAGGGACACTCATCCCATACAGGAATCTCCCAGATGGGTAAACAGAAGTAAACAATAATATGTAAATATGTACAGAAAGTGGAGAATAACATCAATCTTTCCTCAAGTTGGAATGCTCTTCTGTGTTCCGACTGTGACAGCACAGAATCCCTCAGTTTATCCAACCTTACACTTGATATATCTGTAGGTGGGGAGGACTAAACCACGGCCACAGAGGGTGTGATGGAAGGTACGGACCAATGAGGGACTGCAGGGCAGCCCCAAAGGTGGAGAGGAAGGAGCCCACAATGACAACCATGGGGTGGGGCCAGGACAGCAGGGCCACAGCCAGTCGACCTCCGGTGCTCTCCCCGTACCTGGGGACACAGGCCTTGTAGTGACAGAAATTTATCTCTGTTGTCAATCTCAACAAGGAATGAAACCATTTGTAATCTATCACACATTGAGCCTTCAAACATTACAATCTTCTACATTGGATTTGTCTCAAAGTCTTAAAAACATCAAAGAGGAACAAATATATAGAGGTAAAGGATATTTATATTCCACAATGATAATGCTACTAAGATACTCTATTATCCCCTTTTTAACCAAAAGTATATGCTTATATTTTGAGTAACTAAAATATTAAAACCCAGCTAAAATAAACCAGGTATAGAGCAAACCTCCCCTTATAACAAACCTACAATAATCCCATTTATTATATAACCGTGGCAATAGTGAACCCAAAGTTCAGTCCCAATGGGGTTCATTTTATCGAGGTTTTACTGTACAAATATATATTTAGAGATAGAGGACAAAACCAACTCACTTGTCCCGGGCAAAGAGGTTGTCAAAGGAAGCTCCAAAGAGGAAAACACTGGAGAGATCTGAAACTCTGAGTCAAGGAAACACCACAGAGCTGTACATTACATTACACAGGCTTGGTACTAACTTGCTGGTTAGTGTTGTGTAGAAACAAAATGTTTGCTTAGTGCTGCAATCAACTGTCAGACAACTCGCTGGCACAAATGTGGGACCTCATTATAACAGCAACTTGGTTAGAACAACAGCAAGTTTTAGTTCTCAATTGTTGTAACCATGGTTACAACATGAAATCTTGGCCCCAAGTGATGTTGGTACACACAACAAGGCTTGTCAATCAACACTAAAGCTTCCAATAACCAGCTAGAGGGACTCTCCCAATAAGTGTCTCTAATTATCCCTAGTACACTTGGTACAGGCCATGATAATTATGGTGGGTAGTTAGCGACTGCTTTTTACTGTAAGCGCACCACATGTCTACACATGTGAAAAGCAGTTCGAATTTGCACTTACAAATGTGCCAGAGCCCCGTTTGGTTATTTTCACTCGCTGGTAGGGTTGGACTTTTGCAAGAATCGGGGGCCATTGGAGCATTTTTTTTTTTAATCAGAAAAAAGTGACCAATGCGGGAATCGAACCCGGGTCGTAGTGGTCGAAAACCAAACGGTTTAACCAGCCTTCCACCGACCCCCCCCCCCCCCAATAAGTGTGGGCAGTGAAGGATACAGATGACGGAGGTGGTGACCTGAGCAGCTATGGTGCCGGTGGGGATGGACCTCTGGGCATCTTCCAGGTCCCCGGACCTGTTGGACCCAGCCAGGATGCCTGCATCAGCAGTAGTGTCTGTAACTGATGTTTGGTGTGGTGGGTTACACCATTTATACACAAGTACATTTATACAATACTCAGTTAAAACTTGATGGATAAAATATTAAAATGTAAAATTTATATTAACTGATTGTGTTCAATCACACACAATTTACTAAATATTATAAATGTGCTTATTTGAAATGAAGGCGATAAAAACGTGGTGATTTTCTTTTAATTGTAAAAAAACAAGCTTTCAGGCAAGAATGCCCTTCTTCAGGTTACAACTTGGAAATATTTTAAAACTATGGACATGAAAGATAGCCAAATAAAGTAGGTAAATAGTTCAGCTGGGGGGATTGGCGAGGTAAAACACGGAGTATTGGGGTGGGAGGTCGATTTTTCGGTTGAAAGATGTGTTTATGTTTATATCCCTAGACTGACTGAGCACTCCCCCCAGATGAGGTCACAAGAGCCACCCCCCATAGAAGGCCTCACTGGAGGAAGCAGTGATGTAGAAGGAACTATGGGGAAAGCTGACGTACCAGTGCAGGAAGAGAAGAAGATGCCCAGCAGCAGGGTGAAGGAGGTTGAGATGTCCACCAGCACCTCGTCATACGTCTCATCTCCAAAGGAGGTGTCCATCTCCCGGTTGGCGGAGGAAGCCAGGAAGTCTGTGGCTTCCCTATACCAGCTGTGGAGGTTCTCTGGACACATACCTCAAGTTCAGGAAACTACTAGGTAACAACTAGATAAATAATGTGTGACACTTCAGCATTGATACCATCAACAGACAAAAGTACTGAATGGAAAACATATCATGGCATGTTTTAAATAGTTGGTACTATTATCGGTTGTGTAAACAAGATTGCTGATAAAAATAAAATGATTTCTAAGAACCCTAAAATACTATTCCTAAAATTATAAATGAACATTTAAAAAAAATTATATATAATTAAAAGCCCATCTATAAATATCATTGATATCTTCTCTTTCTTCCATTCTGTTAATTGTAGCACATTTGAATGAAAAAGGCTTCTTTACACTGTCTCTTAAAGTAATTTTCCTCATAATCTAGTATCTTTGTTTCCTTTAGATTTAAATTATTGTGCCCAGTGTTTTTCTATGGTCTACAAAGGCAAAATTTGATCCCATTTTACTCAAGGCCATCTACCGGATAACTCACCAGTCATATACAACTGGACTTTTCAGGAGAGCTGGGCCATATCCCATGAAAACAGCATAAATAGAAGAGTTGATATACCAGAATATCATACCTGCAGTTCTAAGCCATGCACTGAATATGCACATAATGACATGAAACAATTAACGCAAAAATAGTCCATCAATTTCCTATTTTAAATTCCAGCACATAAACCAGTGGCTAGAACTTTTTAGAGATCTGAGGCTCCTAAAACAAGCCAGGCTTTGTCCGAATATCAAAGGATTTTAAACAAAGTTTTCATCAAAGCTTGTCAAGATTATTCCATAAGGATTGCTCTATATTTCCCAACACAATACTAGCTGGTTTTACTTCAGTCATACCAGGACATCAGTTTTATACCACGTAAGGAAACCTATCCCGTTAAAGTCTGCAGTGTAGCCAGGACAGGAAGGAAGGGTACTATACATGTGTTCCTCCATTCACTACCTTTGAAGATGTTGCTGGTGAGACCGGGGATGGCCAGGACAGTCTTGGCCTCGTGGGTCTCAAAGTACTTGTCACACATCACGTCCGAGGCATTGTTGGGGTTCTGCTTGCAGAAGATGTGGTAGAGGGAGCCGTTGAGGTGTGGGTCCTTGGAGCACACCTCGTAGTTCTTCTTCAGGAGCCGCTCCCCCAGGATGCAGATCCTGCACACCATTGTGACCACTACAACTCACTGGCCATCCAAGACACAAACTGCCTTCATGAGCCAGCATCCAACCAGGTGTATAGAGGAACGGTGTACATCAGATGGTGAGGTTAGCTGGCAATATCTAATAAGCATCCCTGTCCTACAGCCATCAACAGAGAGTTGTGGTAGTAGGCCATATATATAAAGTAACAAAAACTCAAAGATGGCACTGGGTGACTGGCCATGTACCACTATTGAAACTGTGAGCAACATCAACCAGCAGCTGAATACATGCCAGGGTCAGCAGCCAAGTTGTCCATGTTGGAGTGACCTCATCTGTAGCTAAGTGCCACAGTGAATCTTTGAACCATTCCATCATGAAGACCATCTTCAACTTGTACGTTCTCCATCTAATCATAAATAAGCCAGTAGAAGTTTTTTACCCTGGAGCAAAGATGTGACTACAGTAGTGTGAAAGTAAAATATATAGTAGAGAATCCCATATAAGGATATTTGTGGCCTCTCTTGGAGGTGGTCTCTCATTGGAGGTTGACATTGTTGATGTGGGGGAGACTCACTCAACGTCAGACTTGCCGTGGAGGTTGGCAAAGACCCCGATGTAGACAGAGAGGATGGAGAGCAGCACACAGAGCAGGGCGAACGGAGCAAACTTGCTGACAAACTTCACTCCAATCAGCACCATGGTGCCCACCACAGCCAGCAGCAGGGTGCCGTAGGTCCGGATGTTGTTGGAGAACACCACCGGGTCCGTGTGGAAGTCACCAAACAGGGACATCTTGGGGGCCATGTACATCTGACACCAAAAACATTCTTGTTCATGTAAAACGACATTTGAAAATTATCTCGCATGAGTTTCTTTTCAATGAAAAATCAAAATTTATTTTAAGGAGAAATAACGATTATTTCTAACCTTAAAGGATGAGGTATGAAAGGATGAATTGTGAAGAGTAATGATAAACCACTAGGCTACCCTGGACCTAGTGGTCATGGCATCTGCCCGGTAAGCGGAACACTGTGGGTTCGATTCCCATCCCTGGACACTTTTATTTTTCCGTTCTGCAAGGCTGCGGCCATTGCTGGGCATGAGAATATGTGGGTAGGTGTTAGTTCCACACCAGGACAGTTGTAGCATGTCCTATAGGTTCTTGTGCCATCTGGATGTATTGTCATTCCTTTATAGTGTTTTGTTCTAAGTCTTGTTATAGTTTTTGTCAGTTTTCTCTCAGAGTTTATTTCACATATTTGATCTTTTCTTATTTTTGTTTGATTATCTTGTATTTTGCCAAAGCGTCAGCGTCAAATACTAACATTTGTTCTTTCCTTTGGCTCAGCTTTCTGGCTTCCTTTGCCAATTCATCTGCCATTTCATTACCCTCGATCCCGGATGTCAAGATGTAAATGTCAGTCCTCTTTTTATAAGAGTAATTGTCAAGATAGAAGTTGCCTGACATTCTTAGCTCTCTTAAAAATAATATGACACTGTTAAAGTTTCATTTTCTCAATGTTTCGACATAAATATTTTGTCCTCATCAGGAAAAAATTAAATAAAAATCATTTGGCAAGGCGTTATGGATATGCCTATAAATAACACCTTACCAAATGTTTTTTTATTATTTTGCTGAGGAGGACAAAATTTTTTTTTTTTTTCAAAAAGTAAAGAAAATAAACCTTTTCTCTCTCTCTCTCTCTGGCAGAAGTGTCTCAAGAAGTAAAAGTAAGTGTGCTGTATAATTCCATCTCAATCTCCAAATTTATCTCTGAAGTGGGGCTAGAAGACTCCATTCCCCAATGGGAGTTGAACATATTGGAGAATACACACAGACAGACGTATATATTCAGACATATTGCCAGAATGGAGTCTCTGCAATGGAATGGAATAATAAAAGGTGGATGCTTTTTATATTAACTGATAAGAACACAAAAGATTAAGACAATTAGGTTTGTACCCCATGTTAGGAGCGGCTGCACATGGCATCTGTTCCTCATGTCAGAGGCGGCCATTTCTTTTGGAGCTAAGTCGGCCTGCCACTGAGTAGTGCTCCCAGTCTTAATGAGAAAGGCAGACACATTCTACTTCACCCAGTCATGATGGTTGTCAAACAGACACCATCAAGGGTCACAACTTGATATCCTAATATGATTGAGTGGAGATAAGAAAGAAGAAGGAAGACAATTAGGTTTCATACAAGGAGGGAAAACAGAAATACAACACAGAGATATGGTGGGGAATATCCAAAGATGTAGTTTTCTTCACAAGTTGCTTCAGTGGGACTTCAAGGAAACAGTTTGGGTGCATCTTCCAATCTTACAAACATGTCACATGTCTCACAACTTGTACAATCCCTCACTCACCAGAAATATCTCTATGGCCCCTGTGAGGTACATGGCCCCTGCAAAGGTGTTGGCCAGGTAGAAGAGGATCCCTACGGCTCCTCCAAACTCAGGGCCCAGGGACCTGGAGATCATGAAGTAGGATCCCCCAGCTGCCACACAACACTTGATAAGGCACAACTTGGGTTAGACAATTGACAATTAAAGTAATTTTATTGACATCTTGTCAATACATGCAAAAGTGCACAATCTGCACTATTTAAAAAAATATGATTATATATATATGCATCATCTTCTTCTTCTTTCTTATCTCCACTCAATCATATTAAGGTATCAAGCTTGTAAAGTATATATGCATCATACTATGTACAATGAACATAGTGCCTCTGCCAGTGCTGCAGAGTTTGGTGGAGAATCACCAGCGGGTCTGCAGCGAGATATAAGGTAACAAGGCTACATCAATAAATTATGTGTGACCTTTCTGTTATCAGCGTTGTTATCTTCAGACAAAGTACTAAATAAGAAAAAAAAAAATTCCACAGCATGTTTTTAAATTCTTAACTCTCTTTTTCTATTCTTGTTTACACAACATGCTGCGGAATTATTTCTCAGTCAGTACTTCTGTCTGAACTACACTGTTGGTGAAATGTGACACATTATTTATTTGGATGTGGTCTTATTACCTTATGGGCAAAACTTGAAAATAAAACATAAGACTTTCAGTGACTACTGACTCAATAAACCACCATTTCAGATTTGTAATGATGGCTCCCTGTGCTGCCACCTACTTGCATTCATCTTTACAGTCACCAGACTATTTTATATATTAACACAGAGTAATATTAAATAAGTCCATATAGACCTTGGTGGAGACAATTCTCAAGTTTCATGTTTGGTCGAGGCTTCCATGTTAGGAACAGCCTCAAATTACAGGCAAAGTCAGACTTTCACCAAAGTGTGTCTGGATCATGGTGCCATGATCAACGAAAGCTGCACCCCTATACCCCATTCCATGAGATCATGAACTCATGGAATTCGTGTAATCTTTACACAAGGGGATAAGAAACAACAACATGTATGGTCGACAGGGGCCTTGTTAACTTGGCAACATTACTAGGTAACAAGACCAAATAAGTAATGATAAGGTACCATTTGGATTATAGATTAGAAACACACAAGGTAATAAGACCTAATCTAAATAAATAGTGTGTGACATTTCGGTAACAGGGTTGTTAGTGAAACATCACACAATATTTATTTATTTGGTGTTATTACCTTGTGTTACCAAATAAATAATTAATATGTGAGATACCAGCCTAGTTACCATCCTCAGACAGAAGGGCTGAAATACTCTCAGCTGTATCCCAAATGTCACATAGAAATTACTTATTTGATCTTGTTACCTTTTTTTGCAATTTTTATTTACAATCTAAATTGTACCTTATTACTTGGTAATATTTACTCTTTATATTATGTTGAAAAATGGTCAAGTTTTTTACAGCTGTCAACAAGACATATGTGCAAGAATCCAATCTAGTGAGAAATGTCACGTTAGGTTCCCGTAACAAAGAGACCACATGTGGAGAAACTTACAGGGAACAATGCCATTGGTGGCGATGGCGCTGAGAGAGATGCAGGTGGCGAAGGTCTGGAACACCAGGTTCTCCTTAGTACACAAAGATCTACAGGTTCTAGGTTTGGTTGGGCTGGTAGACATCATTCCCACTTAGCTGGTTTGTTAATGGCTAATTTTTAAAAGAGATATTTTAGATAGAATATAAAACACAAGGTAATGGTAAAACCAAATAAATATAGGATTTATTGCCTTGTGTGTGTGTCTCTATACTGTATAATATCCAAATTGTACCTAATCAAAGTGAGACTGTATAAATCTCAGGAGAGACAAGCTGCCAACTACCATTGTAATGACAACTCCCCCATTGCTGGTCCAAGGAGGAGCAGGAACAAGCTCACTGAACACCTGGGTTCATCTGGCCCGGCCTGTAGATCCAGGGCTACAGTGTGATCAGCAAGTTAGGAATGGCTACACATGCGGCCATTCAATACTGGAGCTCCCAGTCTCAATGTATAAGGCATTATAATGGCACTTGTGGTATCTTTATAGGATAGAGAGGAAGAAGTGTATTAAGACAAAATATAACTCTACTCAAGTGTCAAATAACTGATGTTCAGATCTTGTAGTGATCTATGTAAAGGTACATTAAAATAAAAACACATAAACTGCTAGGTAAAACAACAGAACCAAACTTATAACAATTTGAAAAAATAGTACAGATGTGATATTGTACTGGGATTAAGGTGCATAAATTATAAAAAAGGCATCTCCTTATCGTGCAACTGAAAGTTGCTGATGGCTTGCGCCATTTATCGGAATAAATCAATTAAATTTCAGTTGCACGATGAGGAGATGCCTTTTTTATAATTTATAACAATTTGTTTCTTCATTTCAATAAAATCGGGCGAGATTTTAAGACAAAATATGATTTGTAATAGGGCCTTTTAGCATTTTAGCTTGAAAGCTTTTTATCAAAATGAATTGTTATAAGTTTATTTTTCATTTTTTAATAAAGTGGAATCTCATTATAACAGCAGCTCAGAACATCTGTTGTGATGTTAACACAAGGATCAAGTCCTTGCCATATCCCTCCAATAAAAGTCACTTCCAACAAACCTCACAACATTGGTCATGTTAGGCAGTGTATGGATACTGTATAACTGATCTTACAGTTTGAACTAACTTATTGTATTTATAAAATTTATATTTAATTAAGACACACCTGGGGGACATAATAAAAACTAACTTTCTAAGTTACCTGTATATTCCCAACGTTAATTACACTCATGGACAAAAAACTTTGGGAAGTGGAAAGTGTTTGATGTTGCCAGTTTTTTGAAGGAGACAGAAGCTGTTCACACTTGGTTATCTCATGTGTCTTCAATAAAGGTCACTGTAATATCTTTCAGTGGTATTGTCTGAATCCCGATATACTGTCTGTTGCCAATTCTCAAAGTTTTGGAGCAAAGTTGCCCTCAATACAAGGTTAATGAGTGACAAATTGTAAATCTGTGACAAGACAGCTTGAGTGCACACGGCATCCAACAACGGCCTATCTGTCATCTCCAGAGTGTTTCACCACTGGGATTGCTCAACCTCCCGGCAAAGAATTAATTGGATTACAGATGTGTGCATGTGACAGAACTACCTCTCTGTGAAGTACACCCAGTTACTGAGTGGCCTTAGGTATAATTTGGATTATAGGTTAGAAACACAAGGTAATATAACACCATATCCATATAAATAAATAGTGTGTGATGGTTTGGTAACAACGTTGTTACCATTCAGAACTTTTGTCTGATGACATGACACACTATTTATTTATTTGGTCTTATTACCTTGGTGATAACTGTCCGTTGTTTAGAGGTGTCCACTATATAACAGAGGTTCTACTGTAATCACTTTCTCAGACAAGGTTCAACTAGTGTTTACATTGGTCTGCAATGGACAATCTAAGTTATATTGGGGGGGATATGTAAGCATGGTAGGGATGTGATGAAAGTAAACATATGGCAGAATCAAATCAACCAGAGATTTACAGCCACACAACTTTTGACGCCATATGTGTGGAGCAAACATGGATGCTTGTAAGCCAAAGAAGTGAGAATGCTGGAGACCTTTGAAATGTGGTACTGGGGA